CGGCTTATGGCCGCGCGGTTAATAAAGTAAGGGTTTACTTGCTCACGCGGCGGTCAACATCAAGACAAAGGATTGTGTTGCTCAGAATCGATCGAATTCACAGAAGTATAAAAGGACAAGATCCAATTGTAAGGTAACAAACTTTACTGGAGTGCTAAGCTTGATTTTATACTAAAAACCTGTTTTCACCAACTATAAAACTGGGGCGATGATGTGCCGGGTTTTTTTTGTTTATTGCAATAGACCTTTTCACGGTTTCTGAGGCCATCTTACTTGGGGAGCAAACACAAATTACCGTTAATGTATGGGGGAAATGCCGAATCTACTGAATGTCTAACAACTCACGGAAACTTCAAGTTCTGAAGTATTTATCAAATAAAAACTGAAGATACGGGGAAAAAAAATTTACTGATCGCATTTGAGGGAAATAGCCCCACTAGAAAAGCCATTACCAAATTTTTCCATTTTCCATATATTTGTCTGTAAAACCGAGTCGGAAATCGCGGGAACATTAAGAGACATTTGCATGATAAATGAAAAGTGCAATTCCTCGCGGCAAATCTATGTTCTTCAAATTTGACCAAAAAAACCTTCTGCTGGGTATCTTTTCTTTGTAACTCATAAAATACTCGGAAGGTCAATCACTCTCAACTTATTGGGCATCGAACTTTTAACTTTTCCCACCTATTCACTGTACTTTTTGTTGTCCCTTAAAGCATGATGGCGTCAGAAACCGTGAAAAGTTCTTATTAAATTTGATTATTCATCTTGCAAGAGTACTATCTTAACGCGAAATATCGTTTATATTCTCTAACACTTTATTAGCTCATTCCTAGATGAAATCTACTAATTTTTACGTTATAACTTAGAGTTTCTAGCGCTTTCGTGATACAAATCATAACACAAACTGTTTCCCAAATATGGCAAACTACGTATAGGTATCATAGGATATCTGTTTTGAGCGGACAGAACATAGTTTACCATATTTGGAAGTGAGGCTACCGTAGTTTACACTGACTTGATGACCATATATGGACATCTTGACATTTTGTTGCATAATAGCTGTTGATTACCTTAACTAATAGTATATTTGGACTAACTTAGAAAAAGGTGCAAAAGATGCAAACCCGCTTTCGTTTGGGCTTGCAGAAAAAATCGCACAATTCCGGAGACCTCTTTGACCTTTCTTTTTTTTTTTTTTACCTCAAACAGAAAAGCTTTACTATCCTGTTTTGACTTATATTTGATATTCGTCAAAGGTTTTGGAGAAAGGGGGGTTACGACTATCATTACAATCTATATTACAACTGTTAATTCGTTATTTTCTCTCCCTTTGAACATTCTTTTGTCAAAGTCGCTCAGACTAAAACCATTTTATCAAAGTCGCTACGACTGAAACCATTTATCCTGACCATTTCTGTGTAGTGTTATTACTAAAGTGTAAAATCTAAGTTCCAGCCCTGTTTTAGAGCAGCTAGTGATGATTTAATAGTATCATCCAGCCATCCGCCGAAACTATAAAATGCTCTGTCCACCAAGAATACATCCTGTCCGGTCAGCGGTCGCACGGTCCAATTTTGAACGGCCTCTAAGGAGAAGTTGGCACCAGGCTTTTGTAGAAACCTACGTCATTAAGTAATAAGTTGTTACATTCTCGCTACATAAACAAGGGGGGGGGGTAGGAACCTAGTAGGGAGGGGCGAAGATTCACTCAGATACAAACCAACTTGACTAGAACTTTACACATTTCTCCTTAAGATTTTCATGTAATTTGCGCTTGTAAATGAAACTAATACAAACTGTCATAAAAAATAAAATCGTAAGTTATGATTTCTGTCAAGCCCCCCAAATATAATAAATACATTGACATGAGCAGCAAATAAATCTAAAATTTCTGATAATGTATGAGGCACAGCATAATGTACACAGACATGACTACCCCTCAAGCTACTTCAAGTGTCACGTCGCGATTCCAAACTATCAAATACTCTTTGCTGTCGGCTTCAGAACATTGACCCCAGAGTTATTCTCTTTTGCGCATGACTGATGACGCGAATAGTTCTCGGGAACCCGGCAAAATAGTCATTTCTGATAAGTTTCCTTTGAAACAATGAAAGCGCTCATTATCCATGCAGCGCCTTTTGGAAAGGAAACATTTGCTCTAACAATGGAAAGTATTTGGTAGGAACTTAGCTTTTTATTCCACATGATAATGGCAAGGTCAAATTTTTAGAATCTCGTGTCAAAATACGGAGGCTCGAGAAAACGTCGACGAATTTTAAAAAAAGTTTTGAAAATTAATTAAATTTGCAAACATGAATTTATAATGTAGGCAGAAAAGGTCGAACAATACATGCTAGTCTGCGCTGCGCGGGCATTTGGCTACGTTCGCTCAGAGTTCCTTTAGCTTCTTGTCTTGGTTAGTCTAGAAATTGAAGCTCTGTGGTCGAGAATAGCTTCTGAAGTGACAGTGCTGAGTTATGATCCAGGGTATGCGAGGGTCCATTAGTTTTACCAGGGGAGGAGAAGGGGAAGGAAGATTTCACTCACCAGAATCCTTCGTCCCAGTACTTGTACTTAGTCTCCAAAGGATCTGGCACATCCTGTCTTTGAAACTTGTACTTCAGAGCTCGCTTCAGTTCTTTGTCAACTTCTTTGGGAGATATCTGCAGGATTTTCCCCCACTTGTCACTGCATCCTCCGTTATTTGCTATTGTATGCAGCACAGCTGTTCCGTTAGGACCAACACCACTACAACAGTAACACATATAGTCCATAATAAGCAACAAACGATACTGAGACTGTATCCTAAGGGGGCACCCCTTAGATTTTGAAACACCACGCGGACTGCCAAATTTTGCCTTTATTTGAGACCGAAATACGCCGTTTTTCATATCGAATGATATTGTTTTACGGCTTTTCTTTATGTTTAAGAATAAAGGCTCGATTTTCCGTCTTTGCTGTGAAGAAGAATTAAATTTTTTCTCGTCACTTTCTCCCAGAAGTTTATGGTACCGACTGATTTTCAGCTTTCTCGTTTTCTACTTAATTCATAACAGCCTCGACCTCTTTAATCATCTCTATTCAAAACAGAAAATACCTTTTACAGAAGCTTAACACTGGTCAGATTTCTACTATAACATTTTAACTCTGAACGAACCCTTACTTGTAAGGCATGGTAATTCCCAGACAGTTGCTGCTTGAAATGAACATGTCCAAAGGTTGCAGGGAGTTATTTTTTTGAGCAGCGATTGAGTCATTCCACCATGCTTCTTTATACACCGCTGCTCCATGGAACGCGGGCACGGTTACGATGGACTTAAAGATGTCGTGACCTGTGATGTTTTGCATGACGTCACCGTTTATCTTTTTGAGAGCCGTTGGNCGCTTTTATAGCAAAACTCAGTGACAGATGTTTCTGTTGGTTTCCGGCCGCCATGTTGGTGCCCATACGGATGGGCACCAGCATGGCGTCTCTATACAAGTCTCTATAAATTTGGGGAAAAAATTTCTCCGCATATCTCGCATAAGAAAAAATTGTTGTGACCAGAATTTTGGCGAGAGTCTTTGCATATTTTCCTTCTTTCATTTCCCAGATTCTGGGAAATGACCGGTTTTGATTTTTATTTTGATCTATTTTGAATTGCGTGACACTGAAAACCAGCAATAGAACCGCTTTACCATCCTGTTTTGATCACAGTGGTCAAAATTTGTTGTGGACTCACTCGGCTGCGCCTCGTGAGTCCACGACATTTTGACCACTGTGATGACAGGACAGACAACCCTAAACCACATTCGATTTGTTAAGGGGAAAGGGGGGCTACGACTATCATTACAATCTATGTTACAACTGTTAATTCGTTATTTTTCTCTCCGTTTGAACATTCTTTTCTTAAAAATCGCTCCGACTAAAACCATTTATCCCTGACCATTTCTGTCTACCGTGGAAGTTCAAAATCTAAGTTCCAGCCCTCTTTTAAAGCATCTAGCGATGATTGAATAGTATCATCCAGCCAGCCGCCGAAACTATAAAATGCTCTGTCCACCAAGAATACGTCCTGTCCGGTCAGCGGTCGCATGGCCCATTGTTGAACGGTTGCTAAGGAGAAGTTGGCACCAGGTTTTTGCAGGAACCTACGTCATTAAGTAATAAGTTGTCACATTCTCGCTACATAAACCGGGGGGTGCAGGACCTAGTAGGGAGGGGGAGGATTCACTCAGATACAAACCAGACGGACTAGAACTTTACACATTTCTCCTTGAGATGTGCATGTAATTTGCGCTTGTAAATGAAACTGATACAACTGTCAATATAATATAATCTTAATAACTATAATCTTTAGTTATGATTTTTGTCAAGCCCCCAAATATAATAAATACATTGACATGAGCAGCAGATAAATCTAAAATTTCTGATAATGTATGGGGCAAAGCATAATGTACACAGACATGACTATCCTTCAGGCTACTTCACGTGACACGCCGGGATTCCAAACTATCAAATACTCTTTGCTGTCCGCTTCAGAACATTGACCCTACAGCTATTCTCTTTTGTGCATGACTGATGACGCGAATAGTTCTCGGGAACCCGGCAAAATAGGTATTTCTGATAAGTTTCCTTCGAAACAATGAAAGCGCTCATTATCCATGCAGCTCCTTTAGGAAAGGAAATATTTTCTCAAACAGTGGAAAGCATTTGGTAGGAACTCAGCTTTTTATTCCACATGATAATGGCAAGGTCAAAATTTTAGAATGTCGTGTCAAAATACGGAGGTTCGAGAAAATGTCGACGAATTTTAAAAAAGTTTTGAAAATTAATTAAATTTGCAGACATGAATTTATAATGTAGGCAGAAAAGGTCGAACAATACATTCTAGTCTTTGCGCTGCGCGGGCATTTGGCTACGTTCGCTCGGAGTTCCTTTAACTTCTCGTCTTGCTTAGTCTAGAAATCGAAGGTCTGTGGTCGAGAAGAGCTTCAGAAGTGACAGTGCTGAGTTATGATCTAGGGTATGCGAGGGTCCATTAGTTTTACCAGGGGAGGAGAAGGGGAAGGAAGATTTCACTCACCAGAATCCTTCGTCCCAGTACTTGTACTTAGTCTCCAAAGGATCTGGTACATCCTTTCTTTGAAACTTGTACTTCAGAGCTCGCTTCAGTTCTTGGTCAACTTCTTTGGCAGATTTTTGCAGGGTTTCTCCCCACGTATCACTGCATCCTCCGTTATTAGCTATCGTATGCAGCACAGCTGTTCCGTTAGGACCAACACCACTACAACAGTAACACATAGAGTCCATAATAAGCAACAAACGATACTGAGAATATATTCCAAGGGGGTACCCCTTAGATTTTGAAACACCGCGCGGATCGCTAAATTTTGCCTTTATTTGAGACCGAAATACGCCGTTTTTCATATCGAATGATATTGGTTTACTACTTTTCTTTATGTTTAAGAATAAAGGCTCGATGTTCCGTCTTTTGCTGTGAAGAAGAATTCAATTTTTTCTCGTCACTTTCTCCCAGAAGTTTATGTTACTGAGTGATTTTCAGCTTTCTCGTTTTTCTACTTAATTCATAACAGCCTCGAGCTCTTTAATCATCTCTATTCAAAACAGAAAATACCTTTTAAAAAGCTTAACACTGGTCAGATTTCTACTATAACATTTTAACTCTGAACGAGGCCTTACCTGTAAGGCATGGTAATTCCCAGACAGTTGCTGCTTGAAATGAACATCTCCAAAGGTTGCAGGGAGTTATTTTTTTGAGCAGCGATTGAGTCATTCCACCATGCTTCTTTATACACAGCTGCTCCATGGAACGCGGGCACGGTTACGATGGACTTAAAGATGTCGTGACCTGTGATGTTTCGCATGACGTCACCGTTTATCTTTTTGAGAGCCGTTGGTCCAGCGGTGATTACAGTCTTGTTGGCTTTCACAGTAAAGTTGGTAGTTTGAAGAACAAACTCGTCCTCTCTTTTATCAATTGAGGTTATTGTCTCTTTGAGGTAGATTTTACCACCGCGTTCTCGCACTTTTNTTCCCAGACAGTTGCTGCTTGAAATGAACATGTCCAAAGGTTGCAGGGAGTTATTTTTTTGAGCAGCGATTGAGTCATTCCACCATGCTTCTTTATACACCGCTGCTCCATGGAACGCGGGCACGGTTACGATGGACTTAAAGATGTCGTGACCTGTGATGTTTTGCATGACGTCACCGTTTATCTTTTTGAGAGCCGTTGGTCCAGCGGTGATTACAGTCTTGTTGGCTTTCACAGTAAAGTTGGTAGTTTGAAGAACAAACTTGTCCTTTCTTTTATCAATTGAGGTTATCGTCTCTTTGAGGTAGATTTTACCACCGCGTTCTCGCACTTTTTTTGCGAGGGATGTGATTAACTCTGACATACCTTTGTTCGGTCGTCTGTCGTCGTCTCTCGCATCTATGACGAAAATCTTTTTCTTGAGATATGTCCTGTAACTGAGTGGGTTTATGGCTTGCATGTAGTCACCCATAAAGTCATAAGTTTCTGCCATTAACTTTGCTCCCTCGGGTGATAGTTCGTAAGACAGGAAAGTTTCCGCTGTAGAGAACTGCGTGTAATTTCTAGCAGCATCGTAAATGAACTCGGCAGTTTTCTCAAGTGATTTATTATTCATTGGAACGCGATCCAGCAAAGTTGGAAAGGCCTTTGATTTCAGAACATCAAAACTGTCTGCAAACACACCTCGAGCTTCAACACGACGCGTTTTTCGGGTCCAGGAGTCAGCGTAAGTACTAAGATGGTATTCGAGCTCCCTAAAAAAATTAATTTTGTGAGAGTCACATACCAAGTCAAACCCAACAATGACTCAATTAACAGTTATAAATTTCTTTTCGTCACGTGCGGTAACACAAGTTTGTTATTTAATTTTAAATCGGGATCGTTAATACAGAGGTACTCACTGTTCGAATTGGCCGTCACCGTGAATATTCCACTCCCCAAGTCCTTTAAAGTAAAAAGTAGAAAGATTTTTTAACAAGTTTTAACTGGTGGATGTCCTAGAGGGGAGGTGGTTACATCTTATGTTGATCTTTTACAATGCTATAATGTATATACTTGAAATGAAGTACTTTTGTTTAAGCAATGAGGCCCAATTAGGGGTTTTCGGGGCAAGGAATATTTGAGTAAAACAATAATTGTACACAGGATATCTGGGGGGGAAATTAATCGGATATGGGATCAGATAAAACAGGTTATCAAGTAGGAGAATCGTTAATTTTTGAAACTGGAACACAGACCTCCCCCTCTTACCTAACAGGGCCTCAGTAATAACACACCAGCGCAGTTTGTATGCACCGGCCTGTCCAGTGTCAAAAGAGAGCCTAGCTGGTTTTCCTCGTAAAAGTAAAAGCTTTTTCAAACTCATTAACAATTCTTCTCAAACTCATTGACAATTTATCAAGTTTAAACGAAGGAAATCATGACCGTGACATTGTTGGGATAAGTGATCTAGCTTGATCTTAATTAGCATAAACTTTTACGATGTTATTTCTCTGTTTTCTCCTTAGTTTTAGTTTCGATTGAGAAGATGTATCAAACACTCAAGACAGTGTTCGACCACATTTCCAAACACCTCGAAGATCGTCAAAAATACTCCGCTGCGCGTCGTATTTTCAACTCTCTTCTCGGTGTTTCGAAATGTGGTCAAACACTGGCTTTCGTGTTTGATATATTACATCAAGTTCGATTAAACTAAGGAAAACATAACCGTGACGGTGTTTGGATTTCTGATGTTAATTAGCATAGTTTGGTGCGATTTTATTTTCCCTTTCCTCTTGTTTTTGTAGTTTCGATTGAGATGGTATATCGAACACCCGAGACAGTGTTTCACCACGTTTCTAACCACCTCGATGTTCGTGAAAAGACTCCGTTACGTGTCGTATTTCAACTCTCTTCAATCTTGGAAAGGTGGTAAAACACGGTCTTTCGTGGTCAATGTATCAACTACCTTAGATATTGAAATTAACCGTCCCAGTATATAACAGTGATAAAACAATTCTTATACGAAATATATGGCGATAGAGAATTAGTTTTAGCTTACCCACTGCAACGTCTGGTGCTTGGGTAAAATTGAAATCAAAGATTTTTCCTCCAAGACGATCTTCTCTCTCAAATACACACACGTTTGTCTCGTTTGTTTCGTCTTTTTTGTCAAGAAGTGCATAAGCCATCAGTAGACCGCCAGTTCCTAAGAATTGATAGAAATTTAGTCAGAAAACAACAACAATAACAATAACAACAGCAACCTCTGGTTTCAAAAACATTTCATTTGAAACAAAAATCGCATCCCACATATAGAAACAGCTTATGGAAACGGGAAGTGACGAGGAAGAAAAGCAGAGACAAGACATTAGGCCCAAAATACGCGGTGATATACATATATACTGTATGTCAAAAATGAGATACAGACAAATTTTCAACGACTAGCTATTAATCGACCAAGTGTCCAAAGCTGTTACAGCGCCTGCTCTCCCTGTAGCCCACTTTCTTTCTTCAGTGGTAAATTAAAAACAAAACAATAGTTTCCTAGCATAACGTAGTTTTTCTTGTGAAATGGTCATACGTGACGTTGAAGTTAGAACCGTTTTGTATGTAGAGCATGCTGTAGTACCATGTCTCATGCTGCACCTCATGGAAGTACTTCTCAATAGGACCCACACTGGGGCTGCTTAATAGCTTTGGTTTGAATGGTCACACACTAGGGTTGCATCCAAAGACTTAAAAGTTAGAACCACCTTGTACAGCATAATAAACAGTACCACATCTCAACTACCGACTGAAAGTACAGGAAGGTCACACAACTGCTGTTATGTAAGTTAGAACACCCTAGTCTAATTCTTACCCCCTCCAACTATAGCTACACCGCATTCTAAGAAAGTCTTGTCACTGGGGACGATGGTCGTGGGTGCCTGTGTGGTCGGTAATGCGGTAGTTGCTGCTGCTGTAGTGGCCGTTGTTTGACCAGTTGTCTTTCGAGTGGTAACGGGAGTTGTAGGTTTTGCAGTGGTGGAGGGTTCTTTTGTAGTTGACGGTGCGGAAGTTGCTGGCCCTTTAGTAGTTGTAGGTCTTGTAGTTGTAGGACCTGTCGTGGGTTGACCAGTTGTCACCTGAGTTGTCTGTTCAGCAGTGGTAACAGTCGTTTGTTGCTCAGTTGGTTTGCCTGGTGTTGTTTCTTTACCAGGAGCAGTGGTGCCCTCTTTAGTTCCTGTTGTTGTAGCCTCACCAGTTGGTTTTTTTGTACTCTCGCAACCTGGTAGGGTAAACAGAAACTCCTTGATATAAATTTGATGTTCTACAGTTGTTTGCTTTCCGGGGAACGTAAAATCCGGGGAGGGGGGTTGGGGGGCTCCCATATAAAAATGACGGGGGTGCCCGTTGTACCTTTTAGGGGTTAAAAAAGCAGTTTTAGTATCTCTTAGGGTGTTCAGCCTCAAAAGATCCACAGCGGGAGCTTTTGCAGTATCTTTTAGGGTATTGAGCCAAAAAAAGTATGACAGGAGATTATGTGTTGTGAAAGAATTGGTAACTCTTAGGGGAGAAAAAAATTTCAAGCCACGCCAACAAAACATGATCTTGGTAGCTCTTACTGTCTTAGGGATTCTTTTGAAAATTTCCGACGAGCATCCCCGTCTTTTTTATACGGAGTCCCCTGGGGGACGTAAACTCTTCTGATAAGAGAGCGCTAAAAACCCAGACTCCAGTGGAAATCATTGCCGTACATACATATTATTTCAAGAGTTTCTAGCAAGGGGGTATAAGCGGTTTGTAACTCCGGTTCAGTATCGTGAAAAAACAGCCTCGCGTAATTAGCCAGTCAAATTCTAGGATTCAGGATCCCGGACCGTTGAGATGTTCAGGATATTGGTTTACTTTTGCGGGGTAACAGAGGGAATTGCAGTACATTGATTTTTCTAATCTTTTTCATGGTCATTTTCTGACCATTGTGCATGTTTTATTACCAGCCGCTGTTCAGGAAGGGCGCCCGCATTCCTCGGGGACATGGGTTACGTGTTTTTACCTTTGATTGCCACACGGCAAATCACGTGGCAACCGCGGGACATCTACACGCAGCAAGGCATGAGAGGGCGGCGGAAATAAAACAGGACAACTCTCATTGCAGTTAATTTTATACTCTAAATTCGATTATGTTCGCATCGCAAATTACCTTACAGTGGGATAGATTTAGAATTTCGATAGATTACAGGCACAATATACCTGCGGAATGTCACGTTTAGCAGGTCAATTCAGATCACGTCAGATGTATAATCCTATTTCGCTCATATTCAAACTTCATATAGAACGTTCCTATAGGAAGGAAAGTTCCCCTGCCTTAGATTAGAGTTGTAAATGTTCAATAACTTTCTTTACACGTTCGGGAGATGATAAGTAACATTGTCATTAATCATTTCAAGTTCAGAATATGTAGGAAGCGCGAAACGTGACCGTGAATTTATTGTGTATTTCCTGTCGTCCCCTCTTTTGTTTGTATAGTTCATGCCTGACAGAAATGAGACACATTTTTGGCTTTATAAACAAAACCCTTTTAGACTTTTCAGAGATTGTGGTCTTGCTAGCTTTTACTACCTTTTTGCGATAAATAAAATAAAATTTCAGCTTTGTAAATCAGGATTTCTTCATAACACAGCGGCCTCTGCGTAAAAAGACCGAAAGGTCATCCAAGGAACAATGATTGAATAGTTTTTACTGCAATGTCGCTGAGATTTGGAATTTCACTCTTGCTGCATCTCAATAACATGTCTGATACTGCACAGACATTCCTGTGTAGTTGCGTGCCGTGCCAAAAACAATAAGATACAATGATAAATTTTGTAAATGTTCCGTTGTCTCAAGGCTTATTACAAGGCCATTACTGAAATTTTATATCACCAGACGGAAATTGCAGGTTACAAATCAAATCAGTTCACACCTCGAAAGAAAACATCACGAACTCTATCTTACGTACTGGTGCCCAGTTTTACGAAAGACTTCTACTACATTCCTTGTGTCAACTATAGCTTTTTACAAGCGAAAACAATTCCTGTTGTCGTAAATTCCGCACAGATATAGTTACAAGAGGAAGACTTGAAGTGAATTGTCATGCACAGAATACATGTTTTCACCGTATTTATGCCAAAAACAAACAGTTCCTAATGATATTTTCTCCCTTCTCTGCGCGATCAATAAATCACTTCACTTCGAGAGTCGTTGTTAAAATGTTTGTGGAAACTAAAATGTTATTTACTTGATACTCAAGGGCTGTCAAATTGTGCTTTCTGCGGTAAATGTTATTGCTCCAAGAGGAGGAATACTTTATTTTCTTAAAGAGCGATGTTTTGCTTCCTAACGTAAAAGAAGTTCCCGGTTCAAGGATCTGTTGCCATGCTTCCCTTTGTAGATGGCATATGTTACGTTATGAAATTTGGTTTATAAAATACAAGAGTATTAAATTGTATTGCGATAAAAACATTGACATTTTCAAAGAGTGTAGTGCAGATACAGACCAAATTCAGTAACAAAATTCTCTAATATGCTTGACCTCTAAGCTATACTTGACTTACTTTTAAGCTAGTAGTTGTTCGTGTTTTGGTAAATCATGATGGTAGCTAATAAATAGAAGTTATGTTTCGTGACAACTGCTCTCGACGAGCACTCGCTTTTAAACAAGAGAATTCAATCTGTTTACCTGTGCCGTTAGGGGAATCCGTATCTTTTAGAGCAGAATGTTTGGACGCTATTTTCCCATTTTCCATCATTAGGATCACTAGAACCAGTCCAGCTATAATGACCGCTATTACGAAGAGGAACAACAAAATTTGCCAAACACGGAAAGTGCACCTTCTATGGAAACAATCACAACAGTTGCATCTCTTTTTAAAATAATGCTCTTGTTTCGTCACATCGTATCCTTCGCACACTGTTAGAGTTGTGGCACTGTCGAAAGTCCGCACGCTGCCCATTTCATGTAGTTTGAGGTAAACGAGAAACAAACTTTGCACCGATTGACGTCCTGTAGCAAAGCTAGCCAGCGAAATCTGACTCCGTGTCGAGATAACCCCCGATTTAAATTGACCGCCACGCCTTTTAAATTAGGACGTCTAAACATTGCGTCAGTGAAGACGACAACACAAGGAAAAAAAATTAAACTCAAAAGGAAGATTTCAACAGTCGCCTTTGTGATGCTTTACTTTGTATATCTATCTTAATCCTCCACATTCACCTTTTCACCTTTGTGAGACAATCTTTTGGTCTCTACCGATGCAACAACAGTTGCTGCTTTCCATGACAGATCGACCTCGGAGCGTGACCACCTCACGAACTAATGTCACGCTAGCATGGATCAAACGAAGGAAATGCGTCATGCAATGAAGTACACAGTACTTGCAGATATTATGTACACAAGGTCGCCCTGAAGTCAATCTCTTTTAATTCCTTCATGTTTGCCTTTGATGTAAAATAATTTAGCTATCACCTGTTTATGCTCACGCGCACATCCCTAATAACGACAACTCTATGTGACATGGTATATTGATATACTAGTAGTAATCAGAGATTATGAGAGTGCGTTCGACGCTCTCACTTTAATATATAATTATATATCGTAAATAAATGATTTCACTAGCTGACTTTCAACCTTTGTCTACTGCTAAAATCAACATTTTTCAGCAGCAACCGAGGTTTTACAGTCAGATATGCATAGTGTCAAAGTCCATGCTAGTGAAGAGGTCACGATTTGTTGATACGTTGCGTGATGCTGTCAGTTTCTGTAGTCTCTCAAGTTTCATAGAATATTTAAATTACGTACATTATTCTAAGCTAGCATNACATATCCACATGCAATCAGCCTTTGTATCATAGACTAATTATGTACCCTATTTTACCAGCCAGTTTACTTGACAGCATACAATTTTTGTACTACCAGCTTACTTGACAAAAGGGAATTATGAATCCCTAATGTAAATTGCCTATACTAGTAGTAATCAGAGATTATGAGAGTGCGTTCGACTTTCTCACTTTAATATATAATTATATATCGTAAATAAATGATTTCACTAGCTGACTTTCAACCTTTGTCTATTGCTAAAATCAACATTTTTCAGCAGTAACCGAGGTTTTACAATCAGATATGCATAGTGTCAAAGTCCATGCCAGTGAAGAGGTCACGATTTGTTGATCCGTTGCGTGACGCTGCCAGTTTCTGTAGTCTCTCAAGTTTCATACGTGCATTATTCTAAGCAAGCATTTGCAGTCGCGTGCTCGTTTCGCGACTAATTCGAGTATTTCCCCCGATGAATAAAGTAGTCTTATAGATCTTGCCTTCAGAGTACTTTTCCACCGATTCCAAACAATAAATTTCGACCGGATAAAGACTGAGCTATCTGTCGCGACTGGAACTAATCAACAAATGCAATCAAAATGTAGCTGTTCCCACGGTTATCATCCCAAAGCCAAGTCGTGTTAATAAACAAGGACAATTCCCTCAGATTGCGATAAATGCTGCCGTCGAAGCGTTTAAATCCGCCAAAATCTAACGCTGAGAGCTCATAATAGCGAGGCGTACGGCGACTGAATGGAAAGAAGTNAATTCCCTGGGGCGATGCGAACTTTATATCACTATCTAACACTTTTAATCAATATATAGAAAATCCAGCGGAGTCGACTGGGTGTAACTATTGTTTTATTGCGTAAGATTACATCTGATTTTTATGTTTCCGTTCATTTGTTCCACCATACAGCTCGAGAACATTGTCAACTACGTTTTGCACTGGTATGTAGTAAATGTTGTTTTAAATAATGTTTTAACGTTTTAACACTTGATTGGTTTACTTGAGGATATAATAATGCAAATGCTTAATTCGACTCTAATTATACGTTGAGAAGTTGCGCCGCTTTCCTATTTGTGACTCTTTAGATGTTTGTGACATTTCCAGTGACAGGCGGGAATGCTGAAGCACCGCACCAAATGCACTTTGTGTAAAGTAATAATACTTTTTTCAAAGATAAGTTTCTCAGTCAAAACTTTTCAAAAGAATAAGGTCATCGCTAACCACTCTTAAAGAGATGGTGCAATACCTGGAATTTTGGTGAATAATGCGAGCGTCTAAAACTAGAACTAGTAGTAATCAGAGATTATGAGAGTGCGTTCGACGTTCTCACTTTAACATATATATATACCTTAAATAAATGATTTCACCAGCTGACTTTCAGCTTTTGTCTATTGCTAAAATCAACATTTTTCAGCAGCAACCGAGGTTTTTACAGTCAGATATGCATAGTGTCAAAGTCCACGTTAGTGAAGAGGTCACGATTTGTTGATACGTTGCGTGACACTGCCAGGTTCTGTAGACTCTCAAGTTTCATAGAATATTTAAATCATTCTAAGCTAGCATTTGCAGTCGCGTGGTCGTTTCGCGTGGTCGTTTATCGTAAACAAACTCCGTGCAACTAATTTGAGTATTTCCCCTGATGAATTAAGTGGTCTTATGGATCTTGCCTTCAGAGTACTTTTCCACCGATTCCAAACAATAAAATTTCGTCCGGATAAAGACTGAGCTATCCGTCGCAACTGAACTAATCAATCAAAATGTAGCTGTTCCCACGGTTATCATCCCAAAGCCAAGTCGTGTTAATAAACAAGGACAATTCCCTCAGATTTTGATAAATGCTACCGTCGAAGAGTTCAAATTCGCAGCTAAACTCCAGAATACCCGGCCACTTTTTAGCATCTCATTGAATAAGGATAGCAACTATTGTCATATACCTCGTTCTTGAAAGCACACCGGCACATGTAAATAAAGTGGCCGGGTATTCTGAAGTTGCTCGCCAAAATCTAACGCTGAGAGCTCACAATAGCGAAGCGTACGGTGACTGAATGGAAAGAAGTTAAAGAACGATCAATCGGAAAGACGAACTCACGTGGCCTACTCACATCCTCACATGTTCGCCACATGACTCATCACATGTCTTAGCATTAAACGGTACCAGTTTACTGGCCGTGACATGCCCCTGCAAAAATCAAGCGGGGTGGCCATTTTGGTGTCCTTACAGGAACGTGGGTTTTTCGGCCTATAACCGTACAGGGAAACCAACTCTGAGAAGCCACAGGTCAAAATTAGGTTTGCGTTCCACTTCGTCGAACGCAAATACAAATAATGACAGTTCAAACTAGCACGGTATCCCTCAATTCCTTTCCTTGGTGAAAAATTTTTTGTAGTATAAATATCACGCTCAAACGTGATGGTAACCTTTCGTGAACAGATTGGTAATTCGCTGATTGTTACTGAGTTCCTGCATTAAATCGTCGATGACTACCAAATTTCTGATGGAGGGATCAATCATAGATTCTAAGTCGCTAGGAACTCCTTCGACGAAGTTGATGTTTGGAGTAGTTGTCAACATACCCAACATATCATCGTAGGCCGGTTGGTAAATACCGTAGTACCAAATGACATTTCCAGGAGCTCCGTCGATGAGATCCTTCCCCGATTCAAGTAAACGTTTTACAAACTGACTTTTACCACAAAAGGTTCGTCCTGCGACAATTGCCGGGAAGGGATGTTTAAGGCTTGGGTCCATACTTTTAAATGATTGATTGAACTGTATGCTTCAAATTTAGAACCTATTCCCAAGCAGTCTTAGGTTCAGCCTCTTTCTCATAAACACGAACCATGTCGGTTGTTTGTAACTTAGCAAACTGTAGCCAATATTTTCGCTCAATGTCTGTGAATTCGTGTACTTGACTTAAATGGTTTGCTAATCAAGCCACATCCAGGAATCGGACAGTGCTTGCACTTGAGTTTCTTCATGTTTACGTTACGAAAGTTAGATTAAAACTGAAGAAATTTGTTTCGTTCGCTAAATGTATAGGGCACAACGGGCAGAAAAGGCTCCTAGGGCACCAAATCACACTTGTATTTTTCTCTGGTAGCACGCGTGGGATCCCGAGACGAAAGCGCGCGCGTGTCATTCGAGAGATGTTTTTTCGTATCTAACGAAAAATTAATAGTAAAGATGATAGTTCAGTTAATAATTTCCGGTAAAGGAAATCTCGAATTTCTCAAGCATTTTCCAGAATACAAGATGTCTTTATCCATTCTCATTCTGCCAGCTATTTTATGCGGTACAAACGCTTGCTTCGAGAAGTAGATTATCGACTGTACAAGTGTTGGTATGTCATCCATACCAGATTCACAGACAAGGGTTGAGAACTATACTTCGATTTTACTACGAGATAACAATTTACGTCACATTAATATCTCTGCTTTGTTAGAACTATTATCACAACTTATTACTATAGATCTTCCAGCCAACGATCCAGTTTTGTGTGATGTGACATACAAAGTTTTTACACCTCCAAGCCGATTATGATAATCGTTGATTGTAATTATAATACCAGCACCAGCGCAAAGATTACTAAAGCCCTCTTCTCAGCAAAGCCGCCCACCCACCGCCAAAACCATCTATCCCACTTATACTTCAAGCACTGGACGAAATCAATACCGAATACTTCAAATCACAAACAGATCATGAAAATGGGAAACACTAATTGGCACTCTGCCGTTTATACCAACGTGTGTGATTTTACGTCGATCAATGGTCATCAATCTCCCGATGGTTTATAAGTCAAGCTAGCAACTCGTGAAATTGGACGAGCAGTTTTTGCTTGCGTTTGTGCTGTTGCTTGCACCACTTGCGATCGAAAAAGATTGTCTCCCTTAGGCCATCTCTTCAAATTTCTGCCAGTAACGGAATCCAGGGTACGAGTCATAAGAATTTGAATAAAAACGTCTCTCGTATTCCTCGTTTGCACTGAAATAACTGTAAAAAGCGTCAGATGGACCGGGTAAACAATGATTTTGTCCCGTCATCGCACGCGCCAAACTGGACTAGCCGTCAAAGTTATTTTCCTCGCCGTAGTTTTATCCAGACATGTTTTAAAAAATTGACAGTTAAATGGTTGAAAAAACAAAATTGTTTCCTTTGCCGAGGCAGCACTTCGGCTTCTTTGAAGATTGGCGAAATTTTCGCAATCCGCAAAAAATTGGCAAGTTTTTG